CCTGGAATCGACCACTACCCTCACAATTCCATGCTCTGACACATGCTTTTCCATCCTGTCTGCCCCCAAAGAATGTCCTACTTGTCCTTTAAGATTCATGTAAACAAACAAACAAAAAAAGACAGTCCCTTATAGAAATATATCCTAAGAAAACAAACACGGGCAAAGATATTTATTCAAATGTAGTCCTTTAGGTTGGTCCGAGTGCAGTGGTGTTTACAACTAATTGATCACAACCAGTTACAGACTCCTTTGTTCCTTCTCTACTACTTCACCTGACCAGCCTGAAAAAAAAGAAACAAAGGTAGTCCTTTATAAACAGTTATTTATGACAATGAAAAATTAGAAATAACCTAAGTGTCTGAAAAACGCAGGAAATGTTTAACAAATAATACTCTCTATTTAAGGGATACTACTACAACCACACTTGGACTTTCTTTCTTTCTTTCTTTCTTTCTTTTCTTTTCTTTTTTGGATTGCTAGCAAAAAGTCTTGACCAATCACTGTAAATCAGTGATTTTCAACTAAGTTGCCATGGAGGACTGCTGTGACTTTTTCCTAGGACATTGCAATTGAATAAAGTTACTACAACTATGATTCATGCTGTTGACACGGTGTCTGGGCAGACAAAATGCTGAGCTGCACTTCACAGGTCTCCACGTGGTGCAGGGCACAGCTTGATACACATGAAGAAACAATGAGACTATGCATTTGCCAGGACCTGTGAGAACTTTGCCTCATGAGTATCTAAGAGAGAGTGATCAGGACAGTTATAGTTCTACTCAAACAGTGACACTATATTGAAGTATGATTAGTATAATAGTGTAATTACTATGCATGCAAATTAATCCTTTTGAATGTGCTGCCAAAATAGTAGCATCCAAAAGAATGCCACTCTATTTGTTAGGGTTATGCTGTAGTAAATAAACACTCAAATTCTTGTCCACATAACTAGTTCAATAAGGGTGTTCCTGGTCAGCAAGTGGTTTTCTTCCATACAGTGATTCAGGAATCCAGGCTCCTTCCAACTATGGCTCTTCCATCCTTAGAGACTCAGAGTCCTGGCAGATGCAGAAAAAGAAAATAGAAAAGTCACCTTTTTACTGCTTTGGCTGCAAGTGACACACATCACTTCCAGTCCCATTCTGTTGCTAACTTGTTGCACAGTCCCACCTAGGTACAAGAGGTGCTAGGAACATAATCTCTGGCTAAGCAACCACTACCCAGCAACAACTTTACACTATTGAAGAAGGAACACACATTTCTGATGGATAGCCCACCCTCTGTGCTGCAGCCCCAAACCCAAAAATGTGAAGAACCACTGGGTAATGGAGTTGTGTAACTACACCACATGGAGAAGTGGTAAATGCCAAATACTGCCTCATTAGCAGAACAATCTCTCCAACTCCCAGCCTTTTGTACACTGGAACATACTTCAGGCCTGCTGGAGAACGTGAACCTTGCTTGGCTCCTTGTCATTCTAGCAGCCACAATGGATCAGGCCTTTGATGGCCATTCAGTCTGCTTCTCTCTGCACACCTCCCCTCACCCCCTGCTAGGACACCATCCTTGCTGGGAAGCTCTGGCTCAGGCACTGGTTCCTGGTCCAGTCAGTGTTACTAGGGAAGCAGAGCTGGCTTCACTGTATGCATGTGGCTGACAAGGCATAACTGTTTCCTGGTGAAAGAACTGCCTGGGACCACTTTTCCTAGAGAGAGATCATAGGCAAGGCAGGTACTTGGAGTTTATGGACTTACCAGTATACAGAGTTGTTAAGCCAGATGAGGGAAGGTACAGTGTCCATCCTGCTGACCATTTTCACCACTTTACCTCAGCGCTTAGCACAGTGTTCTAGAAACCCACTGCCTTGTGGAGATGCACTCATTAGAGCCTCAGAGTCCTCAGAGACTGCTGGCCAATTGGACAGGAGAGAATACAGAAGCCACAATACAGTACAGTTGTACAATTCCTTATCAAATGAAAAAGAAAAAAGAATGAGTGAATGAATGAACAGTCATGCTCTTGATAAATATTTAATGACAGGAAAAATAGTAAAGATGTAGTATTATGAGAAAGTCATGCATCACTTAACGACAGGGATACATTCTGAGAAATGTGTCATCAGGCAATTTCATCATTGTGCAACATCATAGAGTGTATCTACACAAACCTAGAAGGTAGATGGTTTAGCTTATTACACACCTAGTCTATATGGTACAGCCTATGGCTTCTAGGCTACAAACCTGTACAGCATGTTACTGTACTGAATACTTTAGGCAATTATAACACAATGGTAAGTATTTGTATATCTAAACATACATAAACATACAAAAGGTACAGTAACAATATGGTATAAAAGATAAAAAATGGTACACTTGTATAGGGCACTTACCATGAATGGAGCTTACAGGACTGCAAACTGCTCTGGGCGAGTCAGTCAGTGAATGGTGGATGAATGTGAAGGCCTAGGACATTACTGTACCCTACTATAGACTTCGTAAACACTGTACACTTAGGCTACACTAAATTTAGAAAAAAAAAATATTTTTCTTTCTTCAATGATAAGTTAACTTTAGCTTACTGTAAGATATTTACTTTATAAACTTTTTAATTTTTT